TGTCATGGACAGGGGGTCGCCTCAAAACTCTCGATGGGGGAACGTTGCGTGAAAACAATGGGTCGGATGTAAGGGGGGCATAGTCATCCAACCACAGGCATCGCAACTGACATCTACTATTGCCTTCATCCCGAGCTTGGATGAATCCGAACTCCATCCGGAACAAGTGGCATGAACAACACTCTCTCACTCCCACTGCAATCCCGCGCATGCCTCCCTAAACTGCTCTGGAAAACGAGGCTGCGATTAATTGGAATCGAAATGTGATCGGCGTGGATCGAGAGCTGATCGTTCCACGAGATCATTGTGCGTTCATTCAGCTCAGATTTCGAGACTGCAATCGTCGCGAGGATTGTCCACGTCAGAGTTCGCCCAAAATGAATCGTGGCGAGGGGATGGGCTGCCGCACGGGCGGCGGTGCTGTGAAGTTTTCCTGTGGGCGCAATGGAACGTGTAACCGCTTGTTCCATATCCAAAATGTTGCCGATGCGTGTCCGTCGTCTCGCGCCCGGTTGCGTGGAGGATCCTCATTGCTAGCTGTGCGTGCGAGAACGGGCGATGAGACAAGGAACGTTCAAGACAACAAGAAAAAGATCCTGATGTCTTCCACAACCGCAATAGACATGTTCAATCACCGAGTCGATCGAAAATGAGTTCGAAGTTGGCACTTGGCGGTGGGATGTCGCGGGATCGACGGTAATCTGGGATGTTTCGGATTCACCATGGGTATCCTTTGTGCGCAACAGGTCGTCGCTGAACGTTGTGGATGGGTGGCTTCGCCACTGTTGGCTGTGAGTGTGACACGGCCGATTCCTGTTGGAGGTGCGCATTTGTCGTGAGGCTTCCAGCTATCAGCGCTGCGATAACAGATCGTTCGATACACGTCAACACCGGAGATGGATGAAAAGGATCTTAAAGTCCATCGACACGCGTTTTTCAGATGACGTYTCCGGTGTTGACGTCTATCGGGTGATGTGTTATCGCAGCGGTGATCACATACCGTGATTTTGGGGACGCCAGGGAGCAACGGCGATGAAACTTCGTCCACGCGTCAGATGCGGTCGTCGAAGGCGTCTGACGATCTTGACTGCGAAAGCCGCAGACCATTTCGAATTCGAGGACGTCATGCGCAAGATGGTGACGTCAGCGTGTGTCTGAGGACGGGAACTTTCGTGGTTGTGAGCTGTGGACATCATGGACAGAAGATCGCACGCATGTCGACTCGTGCGTGATAGACGGAGTAGGCAGTGATGTAGAAAAATACTCGCACGACCGATTGCATTGCAATATCCTAAGTAGGCTCGGGGAGGACGACCCGCAAGCCAGGGTCCAAGGAAGTGTACCGACAAGCGATGTCGAGGACGCCAAGACTCGAGGGCGATGCGACTTTCTCCACGCGTCAGATGCGGTGGACGGAGGGCGCCAAGACTAGAGGGCGATGTTGAGGATGCCAACAAGCGATGGTGAGGACGCCAACAAGCGATGTTGAGGACGCAAACAAGCGATGTTGAGGACGCCAAGACTCGAGGCCGATGACTGTGAAAGCCGCAAGCCATTGCTCGTCGCGGCGTCATGTGCAAGGTGATGACGTCAGCGTGTGTCACTTCATGGGGTCTTCCGTCGTTGTGATCGGTGGGCGTCGTGCGCTCAAGATCGTGCGCGTGTGATTGGCGGACCAGGTGGTGGCAGAGAACAAGACTTGCACGGTCGAAGGAGCGGAAGGGCAATAGGAAGAGGTGGGGGCTTGAAACGGTAAAGGGGTCGAGCAGGGGGCGTGGGCTTCTTACTAACCTGCGAGTCGACAAACGCCTCCAGCCAACACAAGAAAGCACAGCGCGAATGGGACGACCCGCAAGGTCTACAGTCGCGTGACGTTTTCGTTAGCGCCCCCGGCTATCGACGATTGCTGGAAGAACGAGGGCCTGGATGCGCAAGGGGCCTGCGATTTGATGCAGGCGACTTCGAGCGATGGCGGACGCGTCGCAAAGGCAGCACACGGAAGAAATGACACCAGCGAACGGGTGTGCCAGCCACCCCCATTCGTTTGGTGCCCGACAGGAGAACGGAGAGTGCAGTGAGTGGGGCTTGAGGCGCCCTTCAGCTGCCCGCCGCAGGTACTGCCGCATCGGGGGCTGTGACATCAGGTGGTCCCTTTTTTGACGGACCCTCCTCACAAAATCGCACGGT